CTCCTGCACCCGGAGGCCTAAGGAGCTGCCCAAGGGCTGGGCCACGGCCCGCACCTGTTCAGCTAATTCTCGAGAAGGCACAAGGACCAGGCCTCGAGGAGCAGAGATACGACTGGGGTCCAGGCTTGGCTGGCCCAAGAGCCGCTGAAGCAGAGGTAGCATGTAGCCAAGAGTCTTGCCACTGCCGGTTTCCGCGGCGCAGAGGATGTGGCGGCCACGAAGTAATGGCGGAATGGTACTCGACTGCACGGTAGTGGGCCGAACGACTTCGGGAGCAGCTTCTTGGAGTGCGCTCAGCACACGGGGCTCCAGACCCAGATCGGCGAAGCTACCCTTGGACGAGAGGTTCCGCAGCGCTGGGGCCTCATGCTGAGCGCGCTCAATGGAGAAGTAGTCCTGGCGAGCGCGCCGATGCTTCCAGCCTCGCGAAGCGAGTGGCGCAGCCTCCCAACGGCCCAGCGTTAGGCGTGCGGGCTGGTTCAACTCCGGCCGCCGCGCCGAGATCAGCAGCGGGCCAGGTCGCACCAACACCGGCCGCAGGGGGCTCCGCTGCCCGCTCTGCCGCCGTTCCTGCCGCTTCTGTAGGGCCCGCGGGATGCGCACCACGGGCAGGGGCTCGTCGGGACCGCGGACTGTCAGGTCCCTTCGAGGCGCCAGAGGCAAATGAGTCACGAGCGACAACAGCCGTAGCTGCCGTGCTAGAGCCATATTCCCCTTGGTGCGGAAGAGGCGCACAACCGTGACGTCACGCGCGCGCCAAGGCCTCGCGGACGGTGGCCGGCGCGGCTCAGTAAGGCATGCGGAATTGGCGAACTGTGTGGAAGGAGGGAGGATCTGTAGAGTTCAGCAGCGGCGAGGTCTGTAGGTCCAAACCGGATGGTGACGTCCAGGCCCCGGCCAAACTTGGGGAAGGGTGCGCGATGAAGGCAGGACCGGGGTCCGGCGATAGGCCGCGATGGGGCCCTGGCATTAAGAACCAGGAGGGCTGAGGGCTTCTGGCGATCCGATGTCGGAACCCTACAATTCTCCTTTGTCGCCCTCACAGCTTCTGTGATGGCCTGTCCAGTTCTGATCGCCCCGTGTAAACTGTGAGGGTGTGGCGGTGTTTTCACAGATGTGCTCCCCTTGTAAGGTCTTCTAATACAAATATTTATTGAGAGTCTGAGTGAATGGGGGCCGAGACCAGGAGTAGATCTAGGCTCAGCGTTTCCCCACCGCCCAGAGAGCAGAGGGCCCAGAGGGCAAGCTGATGGACTTCAGCATATCATCTCTTGTCAAGAGAACTCATCTCTTCGGACCTTTTCCGCTTGCGTTTCCGCTGAGGTTCATTCTTCCTTCTCTTGTCACCCTTTCCAACTTCTCATCCTGAAGCTTGGCTAGCTCCACCAGCTTTCAGGTTAGATACCTAAATTACTTGAATAGTAGTGAGGAGGGTCCTGCTGCAGGTATCTGACTTGTCTCACAAAGCCATGGTCAGGCAGAATATTTTACCTGAATTCAGTTCAGGTTGTGGGAAAACCTTACACTATCGGTACTTCTTGAACGGACCCAGAAAATGGGCATCAGATTATCTCCTACCCACAGATTCTGAGGAAGGGGCTGGGCCACACAAAAGTCTAGCAAATGTCGCTACCTGAAGTGGGAGTACATGCTGCAATCTCAGCCTCTCTTCAGTCCCCATCCTCTATCCAAGGTTCTCAACAGCACACTGTTGATATTTTGGGCCAGATCATTCTTGGGTAGGAGATAAGGTAAATGTGGGTTAACTACTTGGAAGAGTCTTAACATCTGAAGAAAGAGGTTTTTGGGTTTTTTTGGCCACTGCTGTACATACAGCCTGTGGTGCTGCCTGCATTGCGAGTATGGAATCCTAACCACTGGACCACCAGGGAAGTCCCTGGAGAAAAGTTTTACTTTCGTTAGATGCTGTTATAAAGATAAATACTATTATATTTCAAATAGTATTTTGATACACAATAGGCTTTTCTGGAGAGTTACCTGTTAAACTAGAGGAGGAGAGAGTTTTGAGTAATGACAGGTAGACAGAGTCACTGGATAGAATTGCGGCTCTTGAGTGAGAGTGGTTTTTGCCCCCACCCTTCCCCCAGGACATTTGACAATGGCTGGAGACATCTTTATTTGTCACATCTGGGGAAATGCTACAGGCTTCTGGTGGGTAGAGACCAGGATATTACTAAATATAGTACAATGCACAGGACAGCGCCCCGCCCCCCCAAAGAATGATCTGGCGGAAAATATATATCAACAGTGCTGTTGAGAACCTTGGATAGAGGATGGGGACTGAAGAGGGGCTGAGGTTGCCGCATGTGCTCTCACTTCAGGTAGCTACACTTGCCAGGTTCTTGTGTGGCCCAGCCCCTTCCCCAGAATCTGTAGTGGGCATATTGATGTCATTGTTTGTCCTGCCCTTGGGATCAAGAAACCTTGGGCCCCTGAGAGCCATAAGCACAGAAAGGGGTGATTTAAGGAGGGTGGTACGGGAGAAGAGAACTTCAGGAAGAATAAAATTGTCCTCATGTGTTTGGGGACTGTGTCAGATGGAAAAGAGATGAGGTATGCCATGGGTTGAACCATTCCAGAAGGCAGACTGGGACTGATGACAGGGAGTCAGATTCCAAATTTGACATAAAGACTGCTGTAGCAACCAGAAATGCCCAGATCTGTCTGGAGAGTGCTGGATTTTCTGTCACTGAAAATTTCATGTACAGATCAATGACCATTGAGTGGTGGAATGATAGAGGGGAGTTGATACAAAGAATACGCTATGATATTGTGATTCTACACTACTTTTATGATTCCCAGAACTCAGAGCTCCTTGTTCCTTAGCTGAAGGGCTCCTTGGATGTCTGATCTGACAGGTTTCATCCATTTACCTGTGCTACTCTTTTTTCAGATACAAAACAAAGAATTGCTTTGCACCGAGCCAGAACAGATACATTGAAAGAATTATCAGAAAGGAATAATACATAGGTATGTATTTGTGTTTGACTTTTGTCCAAATATTTGGGGCAGGGTAACTGGTTAGTGGCTGCTTTCTCATGCTCAAGCCCTTGCAATGTGATTACCTCAAAATGTCATAGGGATTGGAGCCTGTGTGAGCCTGTCTGGCTCTTCTCATAGCCCCTAGTTTCTTACTGTGATTTCTTTTTTTTTTTTGGCCACCCTGCATGGCATGCTATATCTTAGTTTCCTGACTGGGAGTCAAACCAGTGCTCCGTGCAGTGGAAGCATGGAGTCTTAACCACTGGACCACCGGGGAAGTCCCTTTCTTATCATTTCTTTAGATATTCTGTAAATCCCCTCTTTCCCTCCTGCTCACAGCAGACATTGAGTAACCTCTAGTTGTTATTGAGATGGATATTTTACAAGATATTTTACAAAGCACTTTATCAGTTCAGTTCAGTCGCTCAGTTATGTCCAACTCTTTGCGACCCCATGGACTGCAGCACACCAAACTTCCCTGTCCATCACCAACTCCCGAAGCTTACTCAGATTCATGTTTATCAAGTTGGTGATGCCATCAACCTTCTCATCCTCTTCTTTTCCTGCCTTCAATCTTTCCCAGCATCAGGGTCTTTTCCAATGAGTCAGTTCTTCCCATTAGGTGGCCACAGTATTGGAGTTTCAGCTTCAGCGTCAGTCCTTCCAATGAATATTCAGGACTGATTTCCTTTAGGACAGACTGGTTGAATCTCTTTGCAGTCCAAGGGACTCTCAAGAGTCTTCTAGAAATAAGAAAGGCTTACTTATTGTGGAAAAATCCAAGCTCCTGGGAGTGGTGGCCTCATGAGGTAATGTTTTTCTCAGAGCTGCCATGGAAACATATGTTGCCTAGTTACTCCCTAAATTTTAAAAGGAACTGTTCCTTGGGTCTCAGGTGATAGCGGTACATTCATTCATTTATTCAAGCAGTAAATATTTCCTGAGCACCACGTATGTGCCAGGTACTTTTCATGTGAACAAAACAGACAAAATTCCTGCCCTAGGGAGCTTTATATTCTGATTTAATTGACTTGAGGTCAGGCCTGGACATTGGTATTTTTTTTAACTTTTTATTTTATATTGGGGTATAGCCATTTAACAATGTTGTAATAGTTTCAGATGAACGGTAGAGGGACTCAGCCATATATATACATGTATCCATTCTCCCCGAAACTCGTTTCCCATCCAGGCTGCCACATAACATTGAGCAGAGTTCCCTGTGCTATACGGTAGGTCTTTGTTGGTTATCCATTTTAAAGATTTTGGTTTGTTTGTTTTTGTTTTACTCTTGTTGACTTTACCTTCAAAGTATATTTAGAACATGACCACTTCTCACCACCTTCATAACTCTCTCCCCATCCTTAGCCACCATCATCTCTCTTGTCAGTGACTGAGGAGTCTAACTGGTCTCCCTGTGTCTACCATGGCTTTTCATGCAGCAGTCACTGTGATCATGCGGAAATGTGATCAGTCATGCCACTCCTCTCCTTAAAACCCGTGCTGGCTCATATCATGAAGAACTAACAAAGCCCATAGAGCATCCTACAAGTCCATTTGGGATCTCACCATTGTGTCCTATCTGCTTACTGCTCTCACATCCATCCTGTATCTGACGTCCATTACTCTTCTTCTTTCTGTGCTCAACTATGTCGGCCTTTGTACTAGTCTTTTAACACATCAGACTTGCTCCTGCCCCAGGGCCTTTGCACTGACTGTTTTCTCTGCTGTGTACTCTTCATTCCCCACCAGCATGAAAGCTCTAGCAGAACAGGAATCTTTGTTTTCTTCTCTAATGTATCCACAAAGATTAGGACAGTGACTGGCACAGACCACACACTTAATAATTATTTGTTGGATGTGTGAATGAAGTTGCATTGTTTTTATGATCAGAGAAAGGGAAAACAAACTATTACATGTTGGGAGGAAAAGGAAAGCCTGCTCTAGATAACAGAAGAAATTTTTCTCCATTTGAATTTCTGACTCTTCTTTCTTCAGGAATGATTGTCAACAGCCTGTCTCTGTGCTACCACAACAAACTAATCTTAGCTCCTATGGTTCGGGTGGGGACTCTCCCAATGCGGCTTCTGGCCCTGGACTATGGAGCGGACATTGTGTACTGTGAGGTAAGGGGCTCCTAATCCTCCCAGACAGAGAGCTTTTCCACAAATGCAGCCTCCTCACCAGTAGGTGGGTGTGGTCAGAAGCTAGAGGAGGCAGAATGGGCGCTCCCTTCACAGGTGGTCACTGAAAGCATCAGAAGACAAAAACACAGAAGTTTTGTGAGCCCTGCCGAGGATCAGGAGCCTGGGCTGCGTGGAGGCATTGTGGGACCCCTGTGCCAGGTGATAGATGAGCGTCGTGTCAGGTCGCTGCTGTGGCTCCTGTAGGAGTTAATACACAGTCATTATGTGAATGAGGAAGCTCAGTTTTAGAGTGAGAAGGAAAAGGACCAGATTCAGGCCAGAGAAACTGGATGGGGTTGGTTTGGGAAGCCATAGAATTTTCTGATAGCAGTAGCTAGTGGGCCAGCTACTGGCCTGCTGCTTTGAAGAATATTATTAATAGTATTTCAGATCCAGGTTTAGAAAGCATCTTCTAGGAAAAACAGAGTTAAAGGAGTAGCTGATATTGGATAGGGGCTGTGAGCAGTGGTTCTCAGTTGGGCAAGTAAGCTTACCCCACAACCCTTAATCCTCCTATGTCTCTCTAGTGGGGGTGAGAGGTTAAAGAAACTACCCACGTGCTTCTGATATTTCCATCTTTAAGAGCCATCTGTGAAGGGAGGACTGTGGCTATAAGAGGGCTACACAAGGAATCCTTGTGCTGATGGATCTATTCTGTGTCAATATCCTGGTTGCATTATTGTTACTACAGTTTTGCAAGATGTTACCATGGGGAGAAATTGGGCAGTGGGTACATAGGATCTCACATTCAGGTTCAATTGCATGTGAACCTCCAATTATCTCAAAATGAAAGGTTTTATTAAAAAGAAAGGTAAAAAAAAAAATAAAAAGAAAGGTGTAATATAAATCCATGGCTGATTCATGTCAATGTATGGCAAAAACCACTACAATATTGTAAAGTAATTAGCCTCCAACTAATAAAAATAAATGAAAAAAAAAAAAAGAAAAAGAAAAGTGTAAAAAGAAGAGAGGGTCTGGGACTTCCGTGGAGGTCTAGTGGCTAAGACTCTGTGCTCCCAATGCAGGGGACCCAGGTTCAATCCCTGATCAGGGAACTAGATCCCACATGCTGCATCTAAGAAACCTGCATGCTGCAACTAAAGTTACTGCATGCTGCAGCTAAGACTCAGCGAATCCAAAATAAATAAGTAAAGTAAATATTTTTTAAAAAGGAAAAGAAGCGAGGGCTTAAGAGGGAATTTGGGAAGAATAGGCCCTTTACCCAGACCTGGCTCCTGTGGAGCAGAGTCAGGCAGGCAGGGTTGCAGGCCGGCTGGCCCCTGCTTGTGGAGAGTAGATGGATCTCTGGGAACTGAGCCCTGAGAACTGGGAAAGGCACAGCATGGTGCCTGGTGCCCCCTGGTGGATCCAGAGTTGCTTTGCAGGCCAGCCTTGTGATGCTTTGTGTTCACATGAGGTGACCCATCTGTAGGGTTAGTCAAATCATCTCACCCACCTCTCAGGACCTAGTGTGGGACCTCAGGCATTCCATATGTACAGGCACCTTCTTAAAAGCCCTGCAAAGCCCTCAGCAGCTGTAGGTGAAGAAAGGATGAACCAGCTCAGCAAAGGTTAAGGTTATTCCCCACCAAGGTCTGCCCTATTGATGGAGTTTTCTAGGAGTTCATCAGATGTCACATACTTATTCCTTTTTGTAATAACAGTGGATGGATAGACCTAGAGATTTCCTGCTGAGTGAAATAAGACACAGAGAAAGACAAATATCATATGCTGCCGCTTATATGTGGAATCTAAAAAAAAAGTACAAATTAACCTATTTACAATACAGAAGGGGTCACAGATGTAGAAAACAAACTTATGGTTACCAAGAGGGCAAAGAGAGGGGGATACATTGGGAGATTGGGATTGACATATGCACACTACTACATGTAAAATAGGTTACCTTTATAATAAGAACCTACTATATAGAACAGGAAACTCTGCTCAACACTCTGTAATGACCTATATGGGAAAAGAATCTAAAAAACAGTGGATATGTGTGTATGTGTAACTGATTCACTGTGCTCTACTCCTGAAACTAACACAACATTGTAAATCACCTACACGCCAATAAACATGAAATAAACAACAACAAACAAACCAAAATAAAATGGGACTCTAGTGGCTCAGACGTGAGAGGACAGCTGCCTTTTAATAAGCAAGATGAAGGGAGAAGACAGTGGCCTTTAGAGACCTTGATTACCAAAATGGTACTTGAATTTTTTTTTATGGTAAAAAAAAGTTTTACCATCTTAACTGTTTTTAAGTGTACAGTTCAGTAGTTGTGAAACAGATCTCCAGAACCTTTTCATCTTGCAAAACCGAAACTCTATACCTACTAAACAACAACCCCCCTTTTCCCCATCCCACACAGCCCCTTCACCATTCTACTTTCTGTTTCTATGAGTTTGAATACTTTAGATACCTCATATAAGTGGAAATATGCAATATTTGTCTTTTTGTGACTGGCTTATTGTGGCTCAGCTGGTAAAGAATCTTCCTGCAATGCAACAGACCTGGGTTCAATCCCTGGGTTGGGAAGATGCCCTGGAGAAGGAAAAGGCTACCCACTCCAGTATTCTGGCCTGGAGAATTCCATGGACTGTATAGTCCATGGGGTCACAAAGAGTTGGACATGACTTAGCAACTTTCACTTATTTTATTTAGCATAATATCCTCAAGGTTCATCACATGTTGTACTCTGTGACAGGTTTTCCTTCCATTTTTAGCCTGAATAATAATCAATGGTATATGCACTGCATTTTGCTTATCCATTTATCAGTCGATGGATATTTGGGTCGCTTCTATTTCTTGGCTATTTTAAATAGTGCTGCTGTGAACATAGGTGTGCAGATCCCTCTTTGAGATCCTGCTTTCAGTTCTTTGGGATGCATATACCCAGAAGTAGGATTTGCTGGATCATGTGGTAGTTTTTTCATTTTTTGAGGCATCTCCATACTGTTTTCTCTGTCTTTTGCACCATTTTACACTCCCACCAGCAATGTACAGTTTCTGAAATCTTTGCTAACACTTATTATTTTCTCTTCTTTTTTAATAGTACCCATGCTGATGGGTGTAAGGTGATAACTCGTTGTGCTTTTGATTTGCATTTCTCTGATGATGAATGATATTGAGAGTGTTTTTGTATGCTTCATGGCCATTGGTATATCATCTTTGAAGAAATTTCTATTCAAATCTTCTGCCCAGAATGGGTAATTTTTTTAAACTTACAAGGAAATTATTTATGGAAAAAATTGCAGGAATGGACAAAGAACATCCATATACCATTTACCCAGATTGACCTACTGTTAACATTTTGCTTGATTTGTTTTATAATTTGTTCTTTCTCTCTAATATATGTATTTTCTTCATAACTGTTTGAAAGTTTCATATAGTATAATGTATTACTTCTCAAATACTTCATGATATTTTCTAATAATAAAGTCATTCTTTTTTTAAGATTTTTTTTGGATGTGGACCATTTTTAAAGTTTTTATTGAATCTGTTACAGTACTGCTTCTGTTTCTTATGTTTTTTATATTTATTTGTTTTTGGCCCTGAGGCATGTGGGGTCTTCATTCCTCTGATTGACCCTATACCCTGTTCGTTGGAAGGCGAAGTCTTAACCACTGGATCACCAGAGAAGTCTCTTTCTCTCTTCTTTTCTTTGCGGTTGTTGCCGTCCTAGTCATTTTGAAATGGTATCTCGCTGTGGGTTTTTTTGTTTGTTTGTTTTTAAAGATAGGTTCTATTTACTATTTTTTGCCACACTAGGGATTGAACCCAGGCCCTCAGCATTGAGAACGCGGAGTCCTAATCTCTGGACTGCCAGGAAATTCTCCCCATTGTGGACATTGTGGTTTTGATTTTCATTTCCTAGTAATGATATTGAGCATCTTTTGCTATGTTTATTTTCCATTTATATATCTTTTTTTGAAAAATAGCTCTTCATATCTTATGCCCATTTTTAAATTATTTTTTTTTATTCTAAGAGTTTTAAGAGTTCTTTATATATTCTGGATATTAGGCCTTTAATAGATAAATGATTTGCAAATATTTTCTCCCATTCTGTGGGAGAAAACTGTCTTTTCAGTTTATTTTTCATTTATTTATTTTTTTAAGACTTCATTTTATTTTTTAAAACTTTCTATAAGTATAATTGATTTACTTTATTGATAGTATCCTTTGATGCACAAAAAATTTTAATTTTAATGAAGTTCAATTTATCTTATACTTTCCTTTGTCGTTTGCGCTTTTGATATCATCTCTAAGGGGCTTCCTTGGTGGCTCAGATGGTAAAGCATCTGCCTGAAATGCAGGAGAACAAAGTTCGATCCCTGGGTTGGAAAGGTCCCTTAAAGAAGCAAATGGCAAAAAAAAAAAAAAGAAGCAAATGGCTTGGAGAATTACATCAACAGGGGAGCCTGGCAGGGTGGAATGGAGGAGATGAAGGTAGTAGGCTGTAGTTCAGATACAGGAAAATAATATCTGACAAAAAAAGAAGAAGAAGCCCATACATGATAAGGCACTTAAAAATTAAATGCTGTTCAAACATTTGGTAGCCATATGAATAAAATAATTTGCTTGCTGGAGAAGGAAATGACAACCCACTCCAGTATTCTTGCCTAGAAAAGTCCATGGACAGAGGAGCCTGGCAGGCTGCAGTCCATGCGGTTACATGACTGAGCATGCATGCATGAGGAGGGTGGAGGGAGATGGGTTGGTAGAAATAAACTGGTAGAACTGGAAAAAGAAAAAAATCCGCTTGCAGTGCAGGAGACCATAACTGACTTATAAATGGCCTTACTTATCAGGTAAGTTAAAAAGGCAAAGTTAGTTTTACCAAGAAGATAAAAACCAATTAAAATTATATTCTTAACTGTGATGGAGATAGATTTGGGAACTAGAAAGCATTGTTTGTGGCAAAATTTGAGTTGTCTCTTCTATAAAAATAAATGTCATATATGATAAAAATTGAGGGAATGACATGGATATGGGAAAAATAGTTGTGATAATTGAGGTAGAAAAATAATATCCTATTTGACAAAGAATAGTTTTTTTTCTGCACAACTTTTATAGATGTAAAAGTTTGGTTGGAAGATGCACAAATGATAAACTCTATCACATGGAAAAACAATGTTTGTTTTCACCAATGAAGGAAATACAGTGAATAAAAAAGAGAAAAATCTGTGAGGTTCTACACTGTAACCAAAAAACTGACTAAAATGAATAAAATTGGTAAACAATAGTGTTGAGGACGTGTGGGTGAGCAGGCCCATGTGTGGTTTTACTGGTGACAATTGAAATTAATTTCTCCACTTAACAATCAGCTGAGCATCTGCTGCATGTAAGGCATTGAAGCCGCTTCACCAGATGTTCAGTAAGCACTTGTAATATGCTGGGCGCTAGTGACACAAAGATGAATGAGACTGTGTCCAAGCCCCAGAGGCTCTTTGGGTATAATGGGGTGACAGAAGAGAAAATAAGACATTTCAAGGGCCATTTTGCCTCAGCTCCTCCTCTCAGGTCCTCAAAGCCCACCTTTGTGTAAATCCAGAACCTTCCTCAGGGTGTTCATCGTCTAATGGTAAAGGCATGATGGGTGCATCTGTAACTAGCATATAGAGAAGAAGTGGTCCAGCTGTGAAGGTGGACATGGCAGAGGGTTTGAGGAATCCCGAGGGGGACAAGTTACAGCTGCCAGGGCTGGGATCCCAGCATCAGGGACCCGAGCTCATTCTAACTTTCACTCAGCTCGCTTTCCCCGACTCATTCTCAGCCAAAGCTCAGGCTGGCTGCAGCCCTTTCCATAAGCACAGGTCACTCAGTGCTGCCCACTTATGCACTGGCCTTCTTGCCTGCCCCTGCAATCAGGATCACTGGTCTTCCCTGCTGTACCCAGGACCTGTGTGTCCAGGAGTGACATGTGCCCTTTGATTCCTCTGCAGGAGCTGATCGACCTCAAGATGCTTCAGTGCAAGAGAGTTGTCAATGGTGAGTGCAGCTGTGGTCCTAGGATTGTGTGTGTGCCCAGTCATGCCCAGGCTGTATTAACATCACCTTTGCCTGGGTGTCAGCGTCCTCTGGTGCTCCTTACCTGGTTGTGTCATTTTGTGGATCCCATGCTCTCTTGAGTAGGGCTTCCCTGGGGGCTCAGTTGGTTAAGAATCCACTTGCAAATCAGGAGACCACCTGCAATGCAGGAAACCCAGGTTTGATCCCTGGGTTGAGAAGATCCCCTGGAGGAGGAAATAGCAACCCACACCAGTTTTCTTGAGTGGGAAGTCCCATGGACAGAGGAGCTTGGCGGGCTGTGGTCCATGGGGTCACAAGAGTCGAACTTGACTTAGTGACTAAACCACCACCATCATGGTCTCTTGAGAATAGTCACTGCTCTCCAGAGACCATGACAAACAGCCAGTTGTGAAGCAGGCTGTGAATACCTTCTACCTGCAGGCTTACTGGCATATGAATCACCAGGTTTTATAGTACAGGTGACCCCCTTGGGGTCAGGATGGCTTCAGCACTCATCTTGACCCTGCTGCTCTCTGACTGTACCCTGGGGCAAGTCACATGACTCTCTGCCTCAGTTTCTTTAGCTGTAAAAGGAAAATTACAATCTCTGCTTTACTTAAATCATAGGGTTGGAGTGAGGATCAAATAAGATAAGGGACATGTAAGTACTTTGCAAATGGAAGTAGTTGTGCTGAATTGTGGTTTTGGTTATACTTTATTGATAAGGCTGATTCTGCTTTAATGAGAGTTGTGGTATTGTTTGAGGTTTTTGAAATGTATACACATTTGTGAAATCTTAAAATAAGTTCACTCGAAGTTTTGTCAATTTCATGTTTAATTGTTTTAGATGTATATTTTCTTCGTGTTATGAAAAGTTCAGTGTTATAGGTATCAGTTCAGTTCAGTCACTCAATTGTATCCGATTCTTTGCGACCCCATGGACTACAGCACGCCAGGCTTCCCTGTCCATCACCAATTCCGGGAGCTTGCTCAAACTCATGTCTATTGAGTCAGTGATGCCATCCAACCTTCTCATCTTCTGTCGTCCCCTTCTCCTGCCTTCAGTCTTGCCCAACATCAGGGTCTTTTCCAATGAATCAGTTCTTTGCATCAGGTGGCCAAAGTATTGGAGCTTCAGCTTCAGCATCAGTCATTCCAACGAATATTCAGGACTGATTTCCTTTAGGATTGGCTGATTTGATCTCCTTGCAGTCCAAGGGACTCTCAAGAGTCTTCTCCAACACCCCAGTTCAAAAGCATCAATTCTTTGGTGCTCAGCTTTCTTTATGGTCCAACTCTCATATCTATACATGACTACTGGGAAAACCATTGACTAGATGAACCATTGTCAGCAAAGGTCTCTGCTTTTTAATATGCTGTCTAGGTTGGTCATAGCTTTTTAAATTATTACTCCTGAAATAAAAGGAGCAAGTGTTTTTTAATTTCACGGCTGCAGTCACCATCTGTAGTAATTTTGGAGCTCAGGAAAAGAGAGTCTGTCACTGTTTCCATTATTTCCCCAACTATTTGCTGTGAGGTGATGAGACTGGGTGCCATGATCTTCGTTTTTTGAATATTGAGTTTTAAGCCAGCTTTTTCACTCTCCTCTTTGACTTTCATCAAGAGGTTCTTTAAAACAAAAAAAAAAGAGGCTCTTTAGTTCCTTTCGCTTTTTTGCATAAAGGTGGTGTCATCTGCTTATCTGAGGTTATTGACATTTCTCCCAGCAATCTTGATTCCAGCTTGTGCTTCATACAGCCCTGCATTTCACAGAATGTACTCTGCATATAAATTAAATAAGCAGGGTGACAATATACTTGACATACTCCTTTCCCAATCCTAAAAAACAAAAATTCCACATAATCCCATGCTTGAAGAGTAATTACAAAGAGAAATGACATGTACTTTTTACACACACTTGGGATCATGATATGCGTTTTTTTTTTTTCCCATTTATTTTTATTAGTTGGAGGCTAATTACTTTACATCATTGCAGTGGTTTTTGTCATACATTGAAATGAATTAGCCATGGATTTACATGTATTCCCCATCCCTTTCCCCCCTCCCACCTCCCTCTCCACCCGATCCCTCTGGGTCTTCCCGGTGCACCAGGCCCGAGCACTTGTCTCATGCACTCAACCTGGGCTTGTGATCTGTTTCACCCTAGATAATATACATGTTTTGATGCTGTTCTCTTGAAACATCCCACCCTCGCCTTCTCGCAGAGTCCACAAGTCTGTTCCATACATCTGAGTCTCTTTTTCTGTTTTGCATATAGGGTTATCGTTACCATCTTTCTAAATTCCATATATATGTGTTAGTATACTGTAATGGTCTTTATCTTTCTGGCTTACTTCACTCTGTATAATGGGCTCCAGTTTCATCCATCTCATTAGAACTGATTCAAATGAATTCTTTTTAATGGCTGAGTAATATTCCATGGTGTATATGTCCCACAGCTTCCTCATCCATTCATCTGCTGATGGGCATCTAGGTTGCTTCCATGTCCTGGCTATTATAAACAGTGCTGCGATGAACATTGGGGTGCGTGTGTCTCTTTCAGATCTGGTTTCCTCGGTGTGTATGCCCAGAAGTGGGATTGCTGGGTCACATGGCAGTTCTAGTTCCAGCTTTTTAAGAAATCTCCACACTGTTTTCCATAGTGGCTGTACTAATTTGCATTCCCACCAACAGTGTAAGAGGGTTCCCTTTTCTCCACACCCTCTCCAGCATTTATTGCTTGTAGACTTTTGGATAGCAGCCATCCTGACTGGCATGTAATGGTACCTCATTGTGGTTTTGATTTGCATTTCTCCATGATATGCGTTTTTTATTTATTTTTTATTTTGGGGGGAGAAAGAGGGCAACGGGCCCGCGAATGGCTGCATGCCACCATCCCTCTTCCCGTCACCGGGGACAGAGGGAAGGACATGGGCATGGACATGTGACAGTGGCAACAGGCTTGCCACTGGCCCCCTGACCATGTGCATCCCCCCCAGGAAAGGGGATGGCGGGGCCTCCCTGTGACATCCCCAGTCTGTCGTCCGCACCCTGCCTCTCCCTGTTCCCTATCCCAGCCCACGAGCAAGGCCCACGGCAGAGAAATGGTACACGTTTTGCCCCTTGCTTTTCTATTAATACAAGGACATTTGTGTTTTCTTGCAGAGGCGCTCAGCACAGTGGATTTTGTTGCTCCTGATGACCGAGTGGTCTTCCGCACCTGTGAAAGGGAGCAGAGCAAGGTCGTCTTCCAGATGGTAGGACATCCCAGGGCTGAGCGCCCTTCCCATCTCATGCCCTGGGCGGGGGAGTATTACATGCCTGGGCTCCGTTATACAGTGGTCTTCAATCTTCCTGAAGGTCCTTCATTCATTGGTTTCAGAGATCTGCTCATGAGTGATTATACTCTTGGAGACGGTTTATGGAAATCAAGCTATTAGCGGTCTATTACATGCTTCCAGTCTCAAATTTAATTTCCTTCATTGTAGGGATTATCTGTTTATCATGACATGTGTGTTTTTATTCCCTAGCATCAGTTGTTCAGATCATGGTATTTGTTTTGTATAGTGTATATATACTTACCATTTAAAGAAATTAGGTTTCTTCAAGAGTAGTTTTTGGGGACTTCCTAGCAGTCTAGTGGTTAAGACTCCGTGCTTTTACCGCAGGGAGCGTGGGTTTGGTCCTTGGTTGAGGAAGTAAGATCTCAAATGCCATGGAGTACAACCAGAAAAAAAAAAAAAGGGTGGTTAGGATTTGTGTTAGAGTCATAGTGATTTTGTCATTCTCTCACTGTGGGCATTTCTCAGTGTTTTTTCAGAAATACTTCCTGGATAACATTAGGTTTGTTAAAAAAAAAATTGATAACAGGACTTCCCTGGTGGCCCAGTGGTTAAGGATCTGCCCGCCAATGCAGGGGACATGGGTTTGATCTCTGGTCCAGGAAGATTCCACATGCAGTGGGGCAACTAAGCCTGTGCACTGTGACTAGCGAGCCTGCATGCCCTAGAGCCGGTGCTCCGCAACAAGAGAAGCCGCCACAATGAGAAGTCTTCGTGCCGCAGCTAGAGAAAGCCTGTGCACAGCAACAACAACAAAATAATTTTTTAAATAATTGATATCAATGAGTAACCATATGATAAAGTAGATATAGAAGAATGTTAATTATATAATCTAAGTGGTGGGTATATGAATGTTCCCTCTAGAATCTTTCCAACTTTTTTGTATGTTTCTAAGTATTGACACCATTGATGACATTTTCTTAGGGCTCCAGTGAGCCAGTCAGTGGGCTAGCTACTTGGGAGAATAACAGCTGGTCTCCACTTGCTGGTGTGTGTGTGTGTGTGTGTGTGTGTGTGTGTGTGTGTGTGTGTGTGTGTGTGTGTGTTGCTTGCGCGTGTATGCCCGTGCATGTGTCTGGTGTGCCTGCGTGTGGTTGTCTGTGTATATGGACTGTGTCAGGGCCGTGGTTGATATAGCCTCTTGTGTTCCCAGGGGACTTCAGATGCAGAGCGAGCCCTTGCTGTGGCCAGGCTTGTGTAAGTTCTTCCCTCTGGGGGGACTGCCTTTGCCTCTCCTGTGGGCCCTGAGGTCTTACTGTTCCCTGTGACCTTGGAGGTGACCACCCTTCTGCTTCCTAGTCCACTACCTTCTGTTTTCAGGTTAAGAGGGTCATATTTCCTTCTCTATTTGTGGTGAATAAGGGCCGCCCCAGGTATGATGTGAACCCACTGTGTCTGGACCCCAGAGAACCTTTGGGTGGGAGCCTGTTTGTTAGTGTTTATTTATGAGGCTTCCTTTCTGGAGACTACCATGACTGTGAACCCTGAGCTTTTAAATCTCATGAAGTGTAAGTAAGAGTTACTGCTTTCTAAATTAATGAAGGCAGCAGAGTAATGTGGTTCAAGAGATGGGCTCTTGTGTTAGCTGTGGGCTGGAATCCTGACTTTGTTATTTGCTGACTGTGTGACCTTAGATCTGTTACTTAACCTCACTGAGAACTTAGGTTTCCTCATCTATAAAATGAGACCAATAGTCCCACTTCCCTCTGGCATTATAGAGAAGGGTACATGAGATGATGCATTTAAATATCTTTGCAATATGTGGCAGGTAGTGAGTGCTTGGTAAGTTGTTAGCTCTTGCTATTAATTACAATGAAGGTGAGAAGAAACTTGGGTAGTAGTTGCCACTGGTCACAGACAAGTAACTGTGTATGTACCAGCTGATGAGGAAAGGGTCCTTTCTACATCTGAGGACTGTTTGGAGGAAGCTAACTATGCAGCCGAGCACACCAAGACAGTCCCCCACTTCCACCATAACCAGTGCTCTGGGAAAGGGCTCTTGTGCCTGGGTCACTTTTGTGCATCGGCAAATGGCTTTCACTCCCCGGTTAGGACTGGAACTCTGGGATGGAGTTCCGTGTGGCTGTCACTCAACATTCGAGTCATCTGATACAACTCAAAGCTTGCAGAATTCTCTACAATTAGCCTTTCCTACATGTGTGCGCACTGTATATTCTTCTTCTGGAGCTCTGCCCAGGAGGAGAGGTGGTTGCATATTTTAGAGACAGAATTTTTCATTTTCTGTCCCTGAGGGTTGGTGTATTTCAGAGGGCCAGTAAGAATTTCAGGAGCTTAGACCCATACTTTTGACTTTATGTCCTACCCTCAAGTTGAATATTTATTACCTTTCCTCCTTCATGTTTTTCCAGAGAAAATGATGTGGCTGGTATTGACGTCAACATGGGCTGTCCTAAAGAGTATTCCACCAAGGTAAACTGCTTTCGTTGTACTCTTCACAAACATAGGGTACAGATTAAAGGAGACTGACTGGAGGTGACAACTAGTACAGTGCCTGACTCTGGACTAGATCCTGTACTCATGAGTGGGAAGCTCAAGAGGATGTTATTAGATCAACTGGCAAAATTGGAATATAGACGATGGTAGATGAGCTAAAAAATACCATATCAATGAAAATATATGAAGTTTATAACTTCTGTGGTTATGTGAGAATATCTCTATTAGAAAATACACACAAATATTTAGGGATCAAGAACTATGAGATATATATATGTGTGTGTGTGTATGTGTATATATATATATATGTATAATTATCCTCAAATGGTTCAGGAAAAAAATTTTAATTTTATTTACTTATCTTTGTCTGTGCTGGGTCTTTGTTGCTCCATACTGGCTTTCTCTAATTGCGATGAGTGGGGACCACTCTCTAGCTGTGGAGCATGGGTTTCTCATTGCTATGGTTTCTCTTGTTGCAGAGCACAGGCTCTAGGGCCTGCTGACTCAGTAGCTGGGGAGCAACGAGGCATGTGCAGTCTTGGTTTTGGAGGTGATTTGGAGCAGATGTGCAGTCTTCCTGGATTAGGCATGTGCCCTGAGGCATGTGCAGTCTTCCTGGATTAGGGATCGAACTGGTGTCCCCAGCATTGGCAGGTGGATTCTTAACCATTGGACCACCGGGAAAGTCCAGGAAAAATTTTAGATGTGCATACACATACACATGTATACATAAATAAATAGTCACATACACAGAGCACTCGTGCCCAAGTAATACTGCTGTAAATGTTAAAAGAAAGAAAAATGTGAACAGAGCTCTGTCTTTTTCATGGTAAAAATAGAGGATGCAATATATATATATCCCAATTGTCATATCAGAAGAGACCAGACAGGACTGCAGTGGAAGCTCTGAGAAAGGAACAGAAGGGCAGCCCTTAAACGCAGGCTCTTGTGGGGAAATGTCCCTGAGGAGGAGGCTTGGGACCTGGCAGGCCAAGGGAGGGGTATAAGCTGGGTCTTGGAGGCCAATATGCAGTAGAGGCAGGGAACCTTGATTTGATCAGAGGGTTGAGAAGTGGGAGGGGAAGAGGCAGCAGAGGAACATGTGATTGAAAATCTTGGTTGGGACCAGGTTAACTGAACTTTGACTTTTTAGATATCTCTGACCTGTTTCGGAACAGAGAAGGCTTGTGATCAGAAACTTAGTCTCTTCCCCTAGGGGAAGCCAGGGTTGCTAGTTTCTTGTGTGTCTTTCCAAATATATTCTATAAATAGAAATGCTAATCTAGAAGCCATGTGTCTAGTGGATTCAAGTGTAAAGAGGCTAGAGGTCAGGACACAGATATCCGAGATGAGTATCTTGAGTCCATAGGAGAAACCAAGGATGGAGAGAAGAAAAGCCAAATTGGGGCAGAATTTGACAGTGCTTGGCTGGCAAATGATCACACTGGGAGTGGGAGGTGGGGTGAGTTGTGGGGGCAGAGGGAGGATAGACTGGCAGCCAAGAGGATGGTTGGTCTCAGTGTCATTGGGACTGCTGGAGGAATAGGTGGTTTGGAGAGGATGTAAAGGGCAGCTTGGAGCTAACTGAGTGTAAGGCACCAGAGCGACTCCTGTAGGGTCACCTTGGAAACCTGATCATAGGGTGCCAGGGTCTGCAGTCTAGATGTGGCAGATTGTCCCCATAGCCCACGCCCAGAGTCTGCTTTCAGGAGTTGATTGACCTGAGGACCCTTGCTTTAGGCCAAGACGCCAAGACTGCCTGAGGGAAAGGCCCTTGGAGTACTTGAAAACCAGAGGACCTTGTGGGTGGCTGCTTCAGGAATCATGGAAGTTTGCCCTTGTCTCTTCCTAAGTGGCTCAGTGGTAAAGAACCCGCCTGCCAACATAGGAGATGCAGGAGATGCAGATTCAATCCCTGGGTCGGGAAGATCCCCTGGAGTAGGAAATGGCAACCCATTCCAGTATTCTTGCCTGGGAAATTTCATGGGCAGAGGAGCCTGGCAGAATACAGTCCATGGGGTGGCAAAGAATTGGACATGGCTGAGCATGCACGTAAGGAGTTGAAAACATCAGGCTCTGTTTTGCTACCTTCTAATTATTCCCTCATGCACCTGAGTTGTGTATGGAGCAGAGCTGAAATGGTTGGAATATTCCCCCTGACATCATGGAGTGAAAAAAGCAAGGAGCAGAATTGTATATGACGTGTCACCATTTCTGTGTGGGAAATGGAGAATGAATATATATATTTACACTTCTTTTTATATATTTGGAAAGATACACAAGAAACTGGTGACACTTGTTTCCCCTGGGAAAGGAAACTTAAGTTTTTCTTTGGTTTTGCAGAAGAAATAAAGTTCCCTTGCAGGGGTGCTACTCCAGATAATTAACAAGGTCACAGCACTGGCACTGATCAGTCAGAACAGATACCTCCCAGTGTGCTGTACCCAGTACCTGCCAGCTGAATATCTGCTCTCTTCTTATGGTTCAAAATGGAAGTCATATTAAAAAAAATAAATTGAATAGTTTTTTTCTCCTTCTAAGCAGGGAGAGTTCTACTCTTCATCCTTTTGAACCTTTAAGATTTTTAATATGTTGCCTATTCAAAAAAGCAAGTTAAGAAGTTAAATAGAAAGGAAAGAAGGAAGGGAGGGAAGGAGAGAGGAAGGAAAGAAATGCCAGTTAGGAAAGCCATTTCTGGGGAAGGAGCAGAAAGACCAGAGTTTGGATTCTGCGATTCCACAAGGCAGGGCTGGATTGTGTGCGAGGGGAGGGGCAGTGGAGCCCGGGTGAGTGGTCAGGGCTTCCTCGAGGCCTCTCAGGTTGTGTCTGAGGTAGTCCAGGGCTAGAAGCCCTGCTCTTCCCTTTCTCCTCTGAAATGCAGACTCAGTCTGTACTGGTTCAGCATTCTCTATGGTTCTAATGTGTATTTCTGAAACATGACATTAAACTGTAATAAGTAAATTTAAACCTTCTGAGCACATTCCGTAAGCATTCATTAGTTTGTAGTTTATATACTGACAGCATATCTTTATTGGATTTGTCTTTCTTCCCTTCACCTCATTCTGAATGGTTTCAGATTTTTAACATTCCCCCCTCTTCCGATTATTAAAGTAATTCATACCATTGTCCAGAGCTTGGATAATATAGAAAAGGCCAAAAAAAAAAAAAAGCAAAAACAGGAAAATCATCAGTAATCTCACCATCAAGAGACGACAACTGTTATTCATGTTGAGATTTAAGTGGCTCTGGGGATTGTTGGTTTCCATTAGTTGGGGATTTTGTTAGAGTTTGACACTCAGGACTGAGGGGCCATTGTTGCTGGCAGGGGAGCGGGGTCTGGACATGATCTGCAGCTCGTGTGCCTCTGTGTGGCTTTGCTGGCAGTGGTGGCAAGTGACGGTAGGATAGGAAGAAGGTGGATTCGATCTCATTTCAAAGGAAGACCAATCCATTTTTTTTAAGAGGCTTGGCAGCTGGTGGGGTTTAGTTTATTAAGGCACTGAAACCCTGGATAGGAAATGGGCAGTGCTGAAAAATGAGTTTTTTAGAACCCGCTTCTAGGTAGACCTGTGGGTCTTGCTAAGGGGATCAGAGAGACAGCTTTTAGAATTCGTCAAACTGATCCCTGGTGGTGTGGGCACGGATGCTGCTGCTTTCTTGCTTGCCCAGGAGAAGTGCTGATCACTAGTGGACCTTGGTTTCTGGGAGGCAGGTGCTGGGGTGCTGCCAGGTTGCCGTCCTACAGGGAGGAGCCACCCTCCTCCAGCTCTAAGAGCCCCTGTGTGTGCTTTTCCTTAGGGAGGAATGGGAGCTGCCCTGCTGTCAGATCCTGACAAAATCGAGAAGGTAAGTCCTGCCCTTGAGAGGTCTCTTAAGTGTGCCCGTGAGCTAGAGCTGTTGGGAGCGCCTTCCCTCCCCTCCCTGAGGTTGAATCACTCACTCCACCAGGGTCTGGAAAGTTTTTAAAAGACTTCCCGGTGATTTTGAGATGCAGCCAGGTTCAGGAACCCCTGAGCCATCCTGCAGCAGCCTTGGTGTCCCTGAAAAGCCCAGGGCTAGGGACATGTCAGCCGAGAGCCAAGGGCCCCGAGGACTCATTTAGAACCACCTCTATATGCCTCTCTTCCTTCTGAGAAGATCATGAGAGCACAGGCCAGGCTGCCTGTGGGTTGTGGACATGCTCAGTGGCCACATGTGTCAAGGCATAGGGGATTGGCCTCTCCCAGTGGCTCCCCTGAACACGGACGGAGTCCATCATCAGTATGAGAGCAAGCCAAGCTAGGGCCATACAAGGTAAGCTGAGCTAGTCCCCTCTGGTCCCCTTCCTCTGTGATTCTGGTGGCCAGGTTTACAAGCCGTTAGGGTCAGACTGATGTTTGCCACCCAGTGCTATAAGCTGCCAGGGGATGTGGGAGTAACATTTTCTGTCACACCACATGCACCTTTGACTCTTCTGTCAGTTCACCAGCTTTCTCCTTGCTGTTCCTATAGCTACCTTGATTTCCTTTTCTTCCTCCATCCCCACTTCTGTCTCTGGGCCTTAAGCCCCCCTAATGCCGCCCACATGCTAACAGCATGGGATGAGGCACCACTGCTAAGAGGTGCCATTGCCATGTCAGCAGCTCAACCTTGTATATCCCTCCAGCCCCACTGTCTCTGGGGTCTAGGAAATCCAGCATGTTTGTGAGTTAGGGGCCTTCTCATTTTTCCTGGGTGTGGATAGGCACAGAAAATGACCTCAGACACCTCTTTGCAGGCTGGAGTGTATGTGGACAGTTGTGGGTGTCCACCCTTAGGGGTGGTTTTCTTCCTAACATGTACATACAGGCATTTCTGTTATCCTCTGGCCTCCTGGCTTCTCCCACCTGTGCTGTTTGCTCTGTCTTCACCACCGCCCTTCTTCAGGCACATGGTACACAGGAGGCACCAGCATTCCCAGCTCACCTCAGAAGCTCACTTCACTTCTGCCTTAACTATTTTCAAGTGGCACCTGGGCCAGCAGGCCCTGTCCTGCCCATGATCTGTCCTGACAGCCCAGCCTCTTGGTCCAGTGTCTCCTTCACTGGTTCTTGTAACCCAGCTGTCTGCTGCCCCCTCCTGTCTAGAACCAGACTGGCAACGGCTGCCTGAGTGTCCCCTCTGCTCTGCTGGACAGGGATCCAGTTTCTTGGAAGAGGGCTCTTGGGATCACCTTCCCTCTAGCTTGCCTGGCCCAAAATTTTTGATGAGGGAAGAAGATAAAGATAGCAAGGTCACAGACATGCAGTGTCATCTACCCCTTTCTTGGTCTCTGACTCTTGGTCTGGTCTTGTTACTTCCCTGACACTTTCCTATGTGACTTCCTTGATCTGTGTTTGGAGTCCTTTGCAATTAATGTGCAAAATAAACCCTTTTAAGTAGGATGACAATGTTGTCTTTTCCTTTGCCCGTTCCTCTTCTGTATATCTGACTCCTCCGAAAGGGAGGACAGGGCCAGGACCTTTTCAAGCCCTCCTGTTCCTTCACTTGGCAGACCCTGGCATAGCACTCAGGGAACATGCCTTCAGACAGGAATGGAGCTGTGAGCCATGTGTTCTCAATCAGCGTTAGGCCTCAGAATCATTTTGAGAGAACATGTTGGGCAGAGTCTTTGGAAACACATATTCCTAAGCCCTGCCCCTGAGCCCTGCCTCATTCAGGAAAGATGAGGTGGAATCTATGATTCTGCATTTCTTAGGCTCTCCAGGTGATTCTGATGTTTGTCCCGGGAAAGGATCCACTGTGTCCTGCACAGGCATATAGGTAGATCCATCCATACATTCATTCCCTCACGCATTCATTTACCAAATATATTTATACTACTATGAACCAGGTAAGGGACTGCTGGGGCTGGGGCTCTAATGGAGAAAAAAGGTGAGCTCCTTCCTTCACAGAGCTTCCATGTGGATGGTGTGCAACAGATGCATTCACATGAACATAAATGTGTCTGTGCCACTGGGCCGCATGGGTCTGGAGTGAAATTCATCAGCACAAGCCGCTGTGGTGATTATTCCGGAAGAAGCAGATGTTCTTGTGTTCTCCCCCACCATAGATCCTCAGCACTCTTGTGAAAGGGACACGCAGACCTGTGACCTGCAAGATTCGCATCCTGCCATCGGTAAGGATGATGTTTTACACCTGAAGGTCCATTTTCTCTGGAGATGTTGGTTGAGGGGTGTGAATGATTCTTGGGGGGATGGGTCAGGTTTGGAGGAGTGGGGAGATCTGAGTCCACTTTGGGAGCTGGCAGCTGCTCCCTCTGTGGCTGCAGTAACCACCCTGTGTGGCCCCGTCCCTCAGCTGGAAGACACCCTGAGCCTTGTGAAGCGGATAGAGAGGACTGGCATCGCCGCCATCGCAGTTCACGGGAGGTGAGTTGTCCCCTTGCTAGTGACTGACTTGCAGGGAGGTCTTCAGCTATTTTGATGCTTCTTCACCAGACCCCGGGCACCTACCACCTTTTCTTCTATGTAGTTAGCCTAGCTTTGCTTAGCTCTTTGACACCCCCTGAATCTGGAGAGCAGTCCAACCCTTTCTGGGGTTGCATTTTTCTTTGTTCCATTCATTGAGCATCTACTGGGTGGTAGAAACTGCACTGAGCTTTAGAGATACAGACACACCAAAGGGAAGGAGAAACGCCCCTGCCCTCAGGATGTGCAAATGCTAGAGATCGAGTGATTTGCTCAAAACTGGGTCATGTAGTCAGGAAGTGGTGGAATTAGAACTCTGCCTCTGAATCTCATTTTCTTTCCACTACGTACAGCACTAGCTTTTCTCCGGAATAACCCCAGGCAGACCGCTGTTCTTTTATAGGCACTGCCTCTTTTGTCTGCCCTTGTTGGACTACCAGCTGTCACAGGGACTGCTTTAAACAGTCCTTAGGTCTGTAGCGAGTGTGTTCTCTGTTGAGATCTGAGGTGTTGCTGAAGGCTATCCTTGGTTTCCCAGTCGAACTTGTTCCCTGTGTCCAGGATGTACTTGTGTACCAAATCCCAGGTTGGCAAATGTTAGCTGGAGTGACCTCCCTTCTGAATGATGTTCCTTGTGAGTTCAAGGGTCTTATAGGAACAGCCCATTTCTTGCAGGTGTGTCTGTTACAGCATTTTCAGAGAAGGGAACCCAGAACTTCAACATACAGAAACAGAGCAAAGCAGAGCTGTGTGTGTTGAAGCCAGCAGGGGGAGGTGAAAGGCCACGCACATGTACATACACACCCTTTCCAGAGGCAGCAGGCTCTGGGCTCAGATGCCTGGCTTCAAATCCCAGCTCTGCTGCTGGTTGGCTGTGTGTCCTTGGACAAGTTATTTAACCTTTCTGAGCACTACAGTCCTCATTTGGAAATTAAGATAGTTTCTGTTGTTGTGAAGCTTCTATGAGATTGTGAATATGCAGTCTTGACATAGTGCCTGGCAGATAGTGTTCTCTGAATAAATAAAGCTATTCCTTTTTCCCAGTAGTTGGAAAGACTAGGAAGACAGAATTGGGCAAGTTTAAAGAGGGACTTTCTGGCTACCAAAGCTGTTACGGATGGGTTAGAATTGGGCTGCCAGTGGTGTGGGAAGGTGGAGGTGGAGGCTGGATTGATGGGACTTTCTTGGGCCCTGTGGCCCCTGACACTTTGGTTGAGGGGTATAGCAGAGGGACACCATAGACAGGGCCTGGGCAAGGGCTGTTTGGTTGGCCATCTGGTTTGCCCGTGAGCACAGCTCAGGTTGGGGTTTACCTTAGCATCCCTAAGACTCACTCACTCATACACAGGAACTTCTTGCAGCTGATCTTGGATTCAGGGGCCTTGGGCTGTGGCCCCGCCTCCCCATGACCCTTGGTGACAGCCATGGTCTGTGGCCTGCCCCGTGCCAGGTGCCTCTCCCCAGGATCAGCTGCCCAGCTTGACCTCAGCACAGACAGCTGTGTGGGAGTGTCCCGTCTGAGTGGCAGCAGCTGTTCGCTGTCCCCAGGGAAGGGCACGACCAGGACAGTAGGGGCAGCATTTTTTTTGGGGGGGGGCGCAGCATTTTTAAGGCAGCATCCCTCATCTCCGGCAGAGGCGAGGAGAAGTTGGGGGTGGCCATGTGACCACCCTCATCGGCTCCCGACAGCCACGCCTCACCTGCGGGCCTCTGAGGGCTGGACTTGGTGTGCACCCGCGCTGCCCCTGCCTCCTGCAACCAGGGTCAGGGAGAGCCATGCCCTGTAGCCTGGAGCCCTGTCCCTACTGGCCACATGGCCTTCCTGAGTGCCAGCAGGGAGGACTGTCGGGCCTGACTCACGTCACTGGGGCTCAGTGTGACGCAGCCTTTGGCACTCAGCCCCCAGCCCCATCTCTTTATCTCCAAGGAAGCGAGAGGAGCGGCCCCAGCACCCTGTCAGCTGCGAAGCCATCAAAGCTATCGCTGAAACCCTCTCCATTCCCGTCATAGCCAAGTAAGCCTCCCTTCCTCCTTGTTTGGTCCTTTATGCCTCATTTTACTCAGAGGGATTTGAACTAACAAACAGAAAACGGAATGAGATAGCATCAAAAAATGACCCTCAGGGAAGAGAAGACAAGAATGTGGCAATAATGAACTTGGGAACAAGGCTGAGAAGTGTCTGTTGTGTCCCTTGGCCTCTGGTGAGCGGCGATGTAAGTATGTGGTAGGCAGGGGTCCAGGGCATTCTGATGGAGGGGTCGAGGTAGGAGCGTTTAGGGGGAGAGAGAGCAAGAAAGAGGCTGCCGAAAGGCCCCTGGGGAAGGTGGCGTCATACCAGGGCTAGGTGTGTAGGGTGTAGGGGGAGGCAATCCATGCCAGAGCACAGAGAGCCGCAGCTCAGAGGCAGGAGGCAGGTCACAGGCCAAAGCCCAGATCCTGGCAGGTGTCGGGGACCGATGACCAGCCTGCCGGCTTAGCAGTTGGACAGCAGTGTCTTGGTGTCACCAGGGAGCTGGCCTGTGTCAGCCAGTTGGGAGTCCAGCTCAGCCCTGTTCCTACCCAATGGCAGGTTGGAAACAGAGAGGTTCTAAAACCCTAACGAAAGTCGTGCCTGCCTAGAGGCAGGGAGTGGGAAGCTAAGGCAGGGGTTGGGGGGGTGCGTGGCAGCCAGGCCCACTTTGCCCAGGCCAAGGCGGGTTGGTGGTGGCTTGGAGAGGGGAGGGGGCTGCTCAAGACCCTAGATCCTATTGCCACCTGAGGGAGCTCCTCCACCCCTCATCCCACATGCAGTGCTGTCTCTGAGCTGAGGCTGCCACCTGGCTCCTAATGAAACAGACAGAGAGCAGTTTCCAAGTGGCCATGGTATGGCCCGAAGGGAAATTGCAACCATACCAGGCCTCCTTCCTTCCTTTCACGACCGCCCTGCATCTGTTCCCTTTCTAGGGTTTGACCCAGCCATTAGTGGGCATGTAGGGCCCCTACAGCCTGGGGCTTTTCCTGTCATCCCTGTATCCATGTACAGATACGTGTCCTTCGGACCTGGGCTGGCTTTAGTCACTGTTGAGAATGGGGGGCTGGGGAGGGTAAATGTTCCTGAGTACCTGTGAAGTGCCAGGCATGGTTTGGGCTGCCGTTCTCTACCGTCTCACTCGGTGTTCCTGGCCCCGCAGCAGGGTGCATGTTGTTCTCTCCAGTCTCTGAAGCTGTCACAGCTGAAGGGCTTGGCCAGAGCCACATACTTAATAAGCAGCAGATCCAGGAGTTGCCTGTTTCTGACAATGCTGGTACGAGGCTGGGGCTACCCTTCACCAACCCCCCATCCCCGCCGGTTGTTGCTTTTCAGTGGAGGATCTCACGACCACATCCAAGGGTATTTGGATATAGAAGACTTCCGACGAGCCACGGCAGCCTCTTCAGTGATGGTGGCCCGGGCGGCCATGTGGAACCCGTCCATCTTCCTCAAGGAGGGTCCACGGCCCTTGGAAGAGGTCATGCAGAAGTACATCAGATATGTAAGTCTATACACTTTTTCACAACAAACTTTTCTCTCTGTCTGCCCGCTTTCTGCAGAAAGTGCTTTGGGTGAGCCTCCAGCCCCCAGCAGCCCATGTGGTTCCTCTCCTTTTCTTTGTCGTGTCGCGAGGCATTGGGTCTTCCTGGCTGCAGTGTGAAGAGTGGGCTGCCCTACCATCACCTTCTTCTAAAGCCTCCAAGGTGTGGGGGTCATCGCACGGGCCTCTGGATCCAGGATGCTGTCGGGGCCCCTAACCCATGATACCTTTCTCTAATTCCCTGTCACCCCTCTGCCCGCCGTGTGCACAGTGCCAGTGCCGGTGGGTTGGCACGTCAGCAGCCACAGCCAGGAGTAGCCATCATAGCAGCTGTTGCTGAGAACAGATTCTCTCCATAAAGACGTGTCACCTGGCCATCAGTCATAATCGCTTCTCAAGCTCTTCTCTTGTAATTCCCAGAAAGCAAAAAAAGCAAAAATGTAATTTCCAATTAGGCTATGTCTTCTGACTCAGGAAGTAGCCTTAACCCTTTCCTTGGGGAATAGCTTTTTCTTCCCACCAGGATGGTGATGGTAGTGCCAGGGCATTTCCTGTAAAGAAGTTTTTTGTCACCTACCATGTCTCACTGGCACAGCCCTGACACCCTATGGGACTCTGTGGCCAGCTGTGTGTGTGTGTGTGTCGGCAGAGACAGTGAGTGGTCCTCAGACTCCTCAGCAGTGAGGGGGGGTCTGAGCAGAGAGTGAAGTCCTCACCAGAGCAGACTCCCACCCTCCTCTTCAGTCCTGGAGCCCCCACCCAGCTGGGGGGTCAGGAGCTTCTCAAACTCTCAGGCGGCCATGACCACGCCTGGGCAATTGTGGCTGCCATGACATGTGGGTGTCCTCAGTGCTGAGCGAGCTGGGGGTGGGGGAGGCCCTGAGGCCCAAGCCCAGAGCCAGCAGCCTCTGTCCTCAAGCCTCTTCTGCTCATTGCTGCAGCCTTCATCCCCTTGGTCCCAGATAGCCTATCGGCCAGGTGCGTGGCCACCAGGCTCTCCGACGGCCTGGGTCAGCCAGAGGTGAGGGGCTGGGCTCAGCCTAGGTGGGCTGGCTGGTGGCCTGAGGCTGGGATGGCACGGTCAGTAGAGCCACGCCCTCTCACTGGCCGAATGGTGATGGTGTCCTTCCTGCACAGCCCGTCCCTTGGCAGCACCTCACGAGGGTGTGTTGGGCCAGAGAAAGGGAGTGGCTTTCCCGTACAGGCAGGGCTGCTTCTGGTCCAGCCAGGTGCCTCTGTCCCAAACAAGCTGAGTCCAGGCCTTGCCATGGGCCAGGACTTACCCCTGGGTCCCTGCTTTGTCGTGACGCACTGAGGCAAGGCACTGAAGACACAGGCCTAGGTGGAGGGATTAGAAGAGTGTGGGGGGTGAGTGGTGGACGGGTGGGTTCTGGGGGACTGGGGCACCCTTTGACCCTTGCTCTCCTGCCCTCCCCAGCCAGGCCGACTTCCACTGGGCATCCCCAGGCGCTCGACTTGCCTCGTTGAGCCTGCATTTCCCCATCTGAGTACTGGTACCCATTTGTCGAGCTCGTGACACATGTGAACATGCTTGATCCATGATGCTGGGTTTTCCCATGTTGGGGGAAGTTGTAGACAGGCTGTTTAAGATGTGGGAGTGGCAGGTGCCCGCCAGGGTTATAAGGAGTAGAGGAATCTCACCCCTGTCCTAGGGCTGGTTCTGCCACTCCCAGAGCTTGGCTGTTTCCCGCTCCCCGCCATGGAAGATGCTTGGCAGCAGGTCCTCAGTGGTAGCTGATGCGGGAGCAGCTCCCTGCACATCTGGACCTTGGTCAGCCTGTCCTAGGTAGAGCGTTCTCCTGACCGGGGGCCTTGGCTGCAACCTTCAAGCCTTGTGTCACTAACCAGAGGAGTAGATGGCCAAGGTAGAGGTGGCTCTTTTGTGAGGCCTCAGCTCTGGGTCCCTCTCAGGCCTCCTTGGAGCCACTGTCCCCGCCATCAGAGCAGCTCAGAGCCTACCTGGGCAGTAGGGGGGCTCACAGCGGTTCTTCCCACAGGCTGTGCAGTATGACAACCACTACACCAATACCAAGTACTGCTTGTGCCAGATGTTGCGAGAACAGCTGGAATCACCCCAGGGAAGGTTACTCCACGCTGCCCAGTCTTCCCAGGAAATTTGGTGAGAGGGGCAACGGGCTGTTCATCTGTCCATGCAGACATGCCCCAGACCTGACCCTGAGCCCTAAACTGACTACCAGGGGACCCTGGGGGTGGATTTGCAGAATGCAGATTGCGGAGTACAGCTTTGCCTCACAGAAGGGGGTACTTGCAAAGCTTTAGAACCTACTATCCCTGGACTGATCTCAGCAGCAGAATTTTGGAAACTAGGGCACCAGTTGGATGGAGGAAGGTGAGGGCTGGGCTTGGGAATCCCTGGGGAGGAAGGGGCTTTCCTGGTCACAGATCTGTCACATGCCAGGCCACCAGGATCCAATGGTTAGGAGACTTGAGGTCTTAGAATGGAACCCCCGGCCTGTGCCCACGCCTTCACCCCATCTAGAGGCCACCCTTTGGTTCTCCAAATCTGCTGGAGCTCCAACTCAGGTGGTAGACTTTGGGGGCCATGACAACCTGGCCTCATGCCTGTCCCCACAGCTCCCTGACTACCTGTGCTTGTACGGGGCCTCCTACCTAGATGCTCTCTCCCCTGCACGTTCGCTGCTTCTACCCTCCTTCCCCCAGAGAAGGCTTTCTGGACCAAGCTTGCCCTCAGGCAGCCATCTTCATGAATATCCTCCAGTCCTTAAGATGCTCCCAGAGGGAAGAACCTTGCCAGAACCTTCCTCCTCGCCCTGGGCTTGTGGTGCTCAGTCTATCCCTCTCCCTTGTGGCTTAACCAGCTCGACTTCAGTACCTTGTGAGCCCGGGGACAACTCTAAAGAATTATCACTCTGTCGCTCTAGGTGGTATCTCATTTTAGGTTTGGCCTAACTGTTTGTGGTCAGGGCAGGAAGTGGGGAACCAGTCAGTGGTCAGGCCTCCGTGTCTTCCTCCCACGGGCCCACATGAGAATGAGGTTGTGCATACCCCCAGCGCTTGGTCTGTGTAGCTCACCTCACTCACTGCCGGCTGGGGACACCTGCCTATGTGCTTCTCCTTGGAAGAAAGGCTGCAGTGATGTTTGGAACCTTTTCCACCCAGCCCAGCCTTGTCTCCGGTGCTCACGCTTAGGGGGCACCTGCTCCATTCTCCATCTGCTAGTTCAGGCTGATCTCAGGGATGTGTAGGAAGCACCTTCCAATGGCTTAACCCTGGTGGTGTTCCGGTGCACGTAGGGGACATTTCTCAGTGGCGGGCCCTGGGTTTTTGCAGCAGTTTCCTGCGCGCTGGCTGCACTAAGGGGCTTGCCCTACTCTTCTCATCCCTTCAAAGTGAGGCCTTTGGCCTTGGTGCCTTCTATGAGGAGACCACACGAGAGCTGGATGCCCGACGGGCCAAACTTCTGGCCAGGAGCCCAGAGGAAGCAGAGGGACCAGCTGAAGACACTTCTGGTATCATTAAGATGGCCATCAAGTTTGACCGGTAGGTCTCCAGCTTGGCTTCAGCTTGGGCCAGGGCCAGTCTTCAGGTCTGACTGGGCCAGCAAGCTGGCTGGTTAATGCCAAGCCATGGGACCACAGGCCTCCTTTATTTTGGATGCTTGTTCTCAGTTTTCAGCAACCCAAAGAAGGCACTTTGGAGAAAGTCCCTGAAAGCCCAGACAGTGCTGTCAGGGTGTGCATGCTGTTCCAAGGGTGACTAAACTATGCCTTTTTCCTGACCCATCCCCTCCCACAACTCAATCTGGGGAGACTCGTCCCCTTCTGTTACTGAAAATATGTGTTTTCTCCTTGGAAAATGTAGTGAAAGTATTAGTCGCTCAGTCATGTCTGACTGTGACCCCATGGACTGTAGCCCGCCAAGCTCCTCTGTCCACGGAATTCTCCAAGAATACTAGAGTGGGTTGCCGTTTCCTTCTACAGGGGATCTTCCTGACCCAGGGATTGAACCCAGATCTCCCGCATTGCAAGCAGATTCTTTACCATTTGAGTCACCAGGGAAGCCCCAGTTTTTACCTTGGCCCTCAGGAATTAACTGCTCATAAGAAGCTCCAAAAGAGCCACAGGCCCTGAACCCTTATCTAGCTGAGCGGTCCACCCCTCACTGCCCCCTGTTAGGCCTGTGGTGCTGTCTTTATGCAGAAGTAGCCTCAGGCCAATTATTGCCTCAGCCAGTGACTCAGCTTCAAATGGGGCCCTGGCCCTTATCCTCTGTGATCTAGGATCTGAGCCTTTCTCAGGTCCCCAGACCCAGATAAGGAGTCAGTCTTGTCTGGCAGAGACTTGGGAGGCAGGATGTAGGCTCAGCTGTTGGGCAGTCATACCCTGGGAGAGCTCCTGGTGGGAAGTTGGAATATGGTGCTTCCGTCCCTGTCACCACCTCGCTCTGGAGCTAGAGTCCACTGTGCCCCTTGACACTCAGGGTACATAATCGGGGTGGAGCTAGAGCCTGAGACCATTATATGACAACCTTGCTCCCTACTCCTACCCACTCCCTCCTGAGTTGTCTTGAGAGGCAAACGGTACCTCCCTTCTTGGCTGTTTAAGGCTGTTTTCCAGGTTGGAGCGCACTTCCCATCCTGATTCCCCAAGCAGCTGAAGCCCGTCTTCCCTTCAGGTAGAATGCAGGCCCCGAGCTACAGGTGGGACAGAAGCAGGAGATTCAGGGACTCGGAGCAGGTGTCCTGAGGAAGCAGTCTGTGGTCTCAGTTCCTGCAGCTCCTCCAGGCACTGAGCCAGGCCCCTGCTGAGGAATGCAGTGCTGATGGTCGGTGGGCCCTGACCTCTTCCCCGCCTCTCCCCAGGCGAGCATATTCACCCCAGATCACCCCCAAGATGTGCCTGCTGGAGTGGTGCCGGAGGGAGAAGCTGGCACAGCCGGTGTATGAAACGGTGAGTTCCTGGCTGTATCCTGCCCTCATCCAGCCCATGCACTCCCGCTGCCACTGTGGCCCCCAGCCCACCCATAGCTCCACCTGGACTCCAGACTGCTTGGCTGGAGCCTGGTATTGCCTTCTGTGGGCTGGTTGCCGCTAACTCCTTCCTGGTGACAGTGAGCCTGCTGTCTAGTTCTGGACACTTTCATAAAACTGAACTAGAGACTTAAGTAAGTACTGCTTGGGCCAGTTCCTTCTGGTGGCATTGCCTGGGCAGGGGTCTCATCTCTGGAAAGGGCTGACTGGCTTAGGAAGGATGATCCAACCTAAAAGTTAGACTGACGGGTTTTTGGACCAGGCCTCAGCCAGTGGGGCACAGAATTGGGCCCCCCACATCTGGGCTCCTCAGTGGAAACTTTGAGGTAGTCTGCTTCACTTCCTTTGGTTCCCATGGCCGTGCCTGTTTAGGTTGCTCTGTCTCTTCTGAACTGGCCTGTGGACCTCCAAGCTTGTATCTTCTGGGCCTGGTGTTCCCCTCTGCCAGAGTGACTCTTCCAAAATGAATCTGACTCTGTCTCCCTGCTCCCATCCTCATCAGCTTCCCAGCACCTGTGGGATCCAGCCCTCTCACCTCAGCACAGAGCACGAGCCCCGCACGTGTCTTTCCACTTCAGGTCCCACCCACTCAGCTCGCCACCCACACTCATGCTGGTCGCCTTGCCTGATGTACTTTCTGTGCTCCGTCCTTGTCCCCTTTCACCCCTTTGCCGTCCGGTGAGCTCCTCCTCCCTGAGGGGACCTGGCCCGTCCAGATGTCAGCGGGAGGATGCTCCAGTCACGCCCAGCTGAGGGCTGTGATGGCCTTTCGCTTAGGTCCACGACAGAACTCCTGACACACTGGGGTGTCGCTGACTGTATTATTTGCCTTTCTTCCCTGGAAGAGGCATACAGGCCCTTCAGGGGAGGAGCATGTGATAGAGGTAGCCTTTGTGTGACTTAGGTGAAAGTACTTCCATTTCTCTGCCTTTGTCGCGACCCTGGCAGGTGGGCCTCCAGGGCTTGGCCCTCTGGCTCTCCTGTAGCTGTCCCTGTTTCCTTTGCTCTCTATCAGGTCCAGCGCCCCCTGGATCGCCTCTTCTGTTCTGTTGTCACTGTCGCTGAACAAAAGTACCAGTCTACCTTGTGGTGAGTTTTCTCATCAGTGGGCATGAGGCTTGGCGGCAGGGCCTGATCCTCGCATTGGCCTGGGAGGGTTAGGGGGGCCAGTGTACCTAGATAGTGGTATCCCTGGGTGATGACCCCTTCCCCAGTTTTGTCAGAATCTCTGCCAAGGGTGTATAGAGTCAAGCCTCTCAGCCTGTAACCAGTTTACCTATCTCCCTGCCTTATTGCCCCATACCTCATCTACCCAGGGACAAGTCCAAGAAACTGGCGGAACAGGCTGCAGCCATCGTCTGTCTGCGGAGCCAGGGCCTCCCAGAGGGTCGGCTGGGTGAGGAGAGCCCCTCCTTGCACAAGCGCAAGCGGGAGGCCCTTGACCAAGACCCTGGGGATCCCAGAACTCAGGAGCCAGCCATGCCTGGGGAGCTGTGCAAGAAGCCTTTTGTAGCCTTGGCAAGTGGTCAAGAGAGCCCCCTGGAAGGCTGGTAACCACTGTCCCTCCCTAGTCAGCCTCTCCCTGGGCCTGGCCCTAGGATGGCTGTGGGTGCACAGCATCAGCCAGATGCCATTGGACAATTTCCTGCCCCTGCTGGACAGAAATTGAGAGGTTCTGGCTTGGGCCAGCAGCCTGGAGCACGGGCCGAGGGGTGCCCAGAGTGTCCCATCTCCCTCAGTGGGTCTGAGCAGCAGAGCTAAGTTCCCAGCGACCTCAGTATTTTCTTTGAAAACAGGAGCTCTCAGGTGGCACCTCCCCAACCTGACATTGGTACAGTGCAATAAAGACACCCACCACCCTTACCCCCAGCTGGCTGCTTCGGCCTGGCTCTTTACCCATGGATGGATGTCTTGGCATTAGTCTGCTTCCAGCCTCTGGGCAGAACTGGGGCTTCCTGAAGCATTTCTCCTACCCATCCTAGATAGAGGTGGGGGATGGGGTATCACCTTTAATGCTCACTGGACTCCTGGACTCAAGTTGAGCCAGGAAAGCCCAAGAAGCCCATTCTGCAGATGCTAAACCTGAGGCACTGGCCATCAGTTGGCTTTCCTGATGAGAGATAATATGGAATCTGGGGGAACTGTTAGGGTATCTGGCACCCTAGTAAGCGACCAGGTCAGGTGAGTGGCGGGGTGGGGGGTGCTCAGTCTGACCCACCCCACCTAGCTGGAGTTCAGACCTATGAGGCGCCCACTCTGGGCAGAGGACACTGGAGACTGCTGATGACAGCAATTTGGGGCCCTTGTGATTGCCTGCCCACGCCACTGCTCCCCTGCCTTCCGCCCCCACCGTCCCATCCCATTGGGCCGGAAGGAAGTGGCAGATTCTCTTTAATTTCCTCCTGGCAGTGAGAAGCAAACAAACGGCTACCACATCTTGTGGGGCCTCCCCCACTTAACTGGGAGGGGCCTTCTGACCAAAGGTCTCTGCCCAGCACCGCCCCCGCTTCCTTCGCTGTAAACACGCGGCTTCTCCTCCTCCTTTCAGAGCTCTGTATGGAGGGGGGATTCCCCTCTGGGTCAAGGCCTTGTTCCTCTCATCTCCAGTCTGTACTCCTGGCTCTGAGGACCTGAGTCAAGGGTTGGGCGTGTGAGGCCCCTGCCTCAATCCTGGAGTGGCCCCTCCCTTCACCCACACTTGCTCTTCTGTTTGCAGATAAGGATACCACAAAACCAGGGCCTCCAGGAGCCCATCACTCTTTGACCTTGGGCGAGTCACTTCTAGTCCTCATCTCCAGTCTGTACTCCTGGCTCTGAGGACCTGAGTCAAGGGTTGGGCGTGTGAGGCCCCTGCCTCAATCCTGGAGCGGCCCCTCCCTGCACCCACACTTGCTCTTCTGTTTGCAGATAAGGATACCACAAAACCAGGGCCTCCAGGAGCCCATCACTCTTTGACCTTGGGCGAGTCACTTCTAGTCCTTGCTGAGCCCAAGAGCCCTTCTCTGAGTGGGATCAGCTCTTCTACTGCCTGAGGCCAGCAGATAAATAGTCTCACCTGGCACTGTGCAGCTAATGGGGTCACTCTATGTATGCCCTAACTTCCCAGGCCAGAGACTCCAGAGAAGGGGCCCCACCCAGGAGACAGACTGAGGCTTGGTTCAGTCTCAGTCATCCAACTTTAGGCATAATTTCTGATTTTTCTTGCAAAAAACATATTCAGTCAAAATGCCCCCTTTGCTTTTCCTCATACCCAACTGGAACAGCACAGCCAGGTCCCAGTGGATTGACCCTCCAGGCATCCTGAACTTGTCAGAGCTTGTGGGAGGACCCTGGTGGGCCAGGTACCGAGTCCAGAGATCCACTTACCTGGTGGGGTTGGCCTCTGTCCTCAGACCTCTTCTTCCATCAGTGTGGTTTGCCTGCGGGGTGGGGGGTGGGGTGGGGCTCTGCTCTAGAGTGGTCAGGTCTATTTCTGGTCTATGGGCAAGGAAAGGCAGGGGTAGAGGTCAGCTGCTGAGATAGAGGTTAGAGTGTGGGGACTTTCAGGGGCCAGGAAAAGTACTGGGGAGAGGGTGAGTCACAGGGGAGCAAGTATGGGGGGCTAGTGTGTGTTTGTTGACTGAGGATGTCTAGCAGAATTCTGGTTGAATATGTTGGCCCTCAAATGGTCTCACTTTAGCACTCCTCAGGGATGCCTGCCCTTACCTCAGAGAGGCCTAAGACCTGAGACCAACTAGGAGGGCCCAGTCAGATCTGAAAGCTGCCACTGTGCTCACCATGCTCACCTTAAACTCAGGCCACTTAGATACCCAAACCCCTCTCTAATCTAGTGGACACCATACTTATCCATCCATTCCAGCCACCTCGATTGAGGACTTCCTCTTAACGCATCATATTTTGGGGACACTTTTTAAGATTTTTTTCTGATGTGGACCATTTTTTTAAAAAAATGTGGACCATTTTTAAAGTCTTTATTGAATTTGTTACAGCATTGTTTCTGTTTGTTTGTTATTTTATATTCTGTTTTTTTGGCGTGAGGCATGTGGGATCTTAGCTCCCTGATCAAGGATCTAACTCGAACCCCCGGCACTGGAAGGTGAAATCTTAACCACTGGACCACCAGGGAAGTCCCACACATGGTTTTAATATGAGCACGAGAAGAAGAGGGGGGCAGGTCTTCTGAAGGCTACAGCAAACAGACTGGACTGGATGCAGTGATGGGTGGGGAATCTCTTGCCCCTGCCGTTCTGCACACTCAGTCCTTCCAGGTGTCACTCCCGCTCAGAAACTCCTCCAGGGCTGTCCACTGCCCTCTGGATTAAGTCCAAACTCCACAGCCTAGCGCTTGAGGACAAAGTGCTGACCCTGTCTTCTCAGCACCCTGTGCTGACTTCAGCAACTAACTTTTCTTGATTGTAGTTGGCTGGTCATATCCCCTCCGCCAGATTGGGAGCTGCTCAAGGGCAGTCCTTGTGCCCCTCTGGCCAGCCTGGGCGTGGGGGTGGGGAGCAGGCACAGAGGAAAAGTCAAACAAGAGCTTGTGGTGGGGGTGGCGGGTGGGGAATGTGTGCCATGGAGAGGAAGAACTTTTCTAAACTCTGACTTTTCTCCAAGGCTCCTGTTGTCCCTAATGTGGAACAAGGTGGGCTGGACTGAGCTAAGCTGTACCGTCACTCAGAGGCCACAGGAGAGCCTTCAATGACGAGGGCTCAGGGCCAAGCATGTGGCAGCTGACAAAAGGGATGGTTTCCCTCATCTCCGGCCCTGACTGGTATACACACAGGAGGGAGAAGGGACCCACACTATCCCTGTCCATGAACCTGGCCCAGTCGGGGGTTCTGTCTATTGCACTGGGTCCCTGAGCCTCCTGGTTGCACAGTGCTCTCAGGAGGCTGGAGATGGGTCAGATGGCCACCTGCCATCTAAAAGAGCTTTGGGAGCTGACCTGAGTCCTGGCCCAGGGTAAGGAAAAGGGGTAGAGAGAATTTGTTTTTTTTTTTTTTTTTTTTTAGAATTTGTGTATTGATGTGTGTTGATTCCTCACAGCCTGCAGGGCTCTCAACCATTGACGCCTTTCTTCCAAAGGTGCTAACACTATTCCTGCAGTTGATGCTCACTTCTGCCCCAGCCCTCATCACACCCCAGGTTAGGATTCTCAGTCTCCTTCATAGTAGAAACTTTCCCCAAGACATGAGCCCTTTAAAATGTTCTCCAGGTGCACAATGGCTGGGAACACACGCATGGCTGAACATTTGATGAATGGGTGAATTTCTGCAACCGTCTATAGCTTCTCTGGGCCCTGCCCAGTAGTGGGGCTGGTGGGCCCGTGATCTCCCTCCTGTCTTCTCCGTGGCCTGACCAGCTGAGCCCCTGGTTCAGATAAAGTCATGTGTGGAGGGCAGAGGGGTTAGATAAAGGTTCATTTTCTCCCTAGATGATAACCTGGGAGGTATTGGTGTATATGTGTGTGGGGTTGGGGGGGGGGGCGGTAGGGGTGACACATCCTGAGATTACATCATTTTATGATGAGGAAGAGGTGAGCCGGCTAAACTTTTGAGGTCTTTTAGTATACTAAGGGTCGTGTTACATGTAATACTAATTGGCAGACCAAACATCTGCCTGGGGCAGAAGGCTGCAGTTAGTGTGATGTCTAGACTCTAAATTCCATACTTAGGCCCTCAAGGTTGGAGTTCCTCTGAAGGCAGGACTGCTTATTGGAAGGCTCTTTCACCCACTTAATGCTATTTGTTCCCTCTCCTTGACTACGGTTGTCTTCTGCCTTGAATCTTTCCCTCCCCCACTCCAAGCCAGAGATTCATTCAGGATTCTGAAATGGAAATCTTCTGCTCTAAACCCTTTCGTGGTTCCCTCCTGCACTCAGGATAAAGTCCAGAAAGCTCACAGTGGCATGCACCACTCTTCCCCATTCATTGGGCCTTATTTTTGGCTTTTATTCACTGCATGTACTCTCTGGTTTCCAAGTCTCTGGAAATCTGTTCTCTGCCTGGAACCATCTTGCCCATCTCTCCAGTTCCTACTTAGCCCTGCATCCAGGGTGATTATGAGTTTCCTCTGAGTTCTTGGCACAGCCAAAATCTCTTTGCACAGTGATTATTAGATTTGCTGGCCTCTCCCTGATGCCTGAAGGGAGATTAATTTATCTCTGCCTCCCCAGGTCCAGCACAGGTATGGGTACAGAGCATAGGGCAGGAAAAGTTTTCTGACCTCAGGGATGAACCAATCCAAGATAGACATCTCACTGGTCTGGAAGTGCTCTGTCTTGCTGACCCTAGACTTAGTTGGGCTCTCCCTGGGATTCCCTGGTAGCTCACGTTGTCAGTCCACATACTGAGACATTTCTTAAGGGTGCTCCCCCTTGCCCCCTTAGTTCAGTTCAGTTCAGTCACTCATGCCTGACTCTTTGCAACCCAATGGACTGCAACACCCCAGGCTTCCCTGTCCATCACCAACTCCCGGAGCGTCCTCAAACTCATGTCCATTGAGTCGGTGATGCCATCCAACTATCTCATCCTCTGTTATCCCCATCTGCCTTCCAGTCTTTTCCAGTGAGTCAGTTCTTCGCATCAAGTGGCCAAAGTATTGGAGCTTCAGCTTCAGTCCTTCCAATGAATATTCAGAACTGATTTCCTTTAGGATTGACTGGTTTGATCTCCTTCCAGTCCAAGGGATTCTCAGGTCTCTAGCCAGGGATTTTTTTGTGGACAGTGTAGAATATAGCTGGGCTCTTGCACCTGCCTGAGACTCTAGTTCTGGCAACACACTTCTAGGGAGGCTATGCCCTTCAGGGCCTGGAACTAGGAGAGTTGGTCACTGTCACCTCTCCCAGATCTTGGTTCACCCTGTGCCTTGCAGGAGTCCTAAGTAAACAAGCCAGGCTCAGCGTCCCTGGGCACAGCCTCCACCCCAGGCTGCAGGAGGAGGCATGTTAGCTTGTCTCGGGGGAAGACTGGCCCGCTGGGGAGGGGCCGAGAGTTTGAAAACTGTTGATACAGTGTCACTTCCTTCCCACTAACAGCCACTCAGTTTGGGTAGTACAGTTTCTCCCGCTTTAATGGATGTGCATCGGGATGCAGAGGTCACAGAGCCCTTACAGTGGCGTGAGTTCACGATGGGCTTTCCCGTTCAGTTAGCCTGACTTACAGCAGGGGACAGACCCTGCTCCTAGGACTTTGCCAAGGTCTCGAATGCGCCGGCTGTCCTCGAGAAAGCAGCTGCTAGGCGGGCTGGCCGGGGTAGACAAAGGCTCAGTCGGCGAAGCGCGGGCTCCGCCCCGCAGGGGTGGGTCTGCAGCGACGGGTAACTCCGGCTTGAGGATCGTCGCGCAACCCAGGTCTTCTCCCGCTCCGCTCTAGCTTAGCTGGAAGCCCAGCCCAGTCCCCGCCCTCTGGAGACTCCGCCATTAAGGTTGGGGTGAAGAGATGAGGGTATGAGTGATAGCCACATAACCCTCCCGAGCGCTGTTTCCTTCCCAAAACTCAGCGAGCAGAAGTAACTCTGCAGGCGCCAGTCACCGCACCCTTAACCCCAAGGCTCTTAGCGCCCTTTCCCCAGCTAGGGATCCACCCAAGAAGGAAGGGGATCTCTGATTGGCCGGTAGTGGGCCTCTCAATCTAATTAGAGGGCCTGGACCGACCCCACGCTCTGGTACCGGGTCCTGGTTTAGGAGGTGATGGAGTAGAGGCCAAACTACAACTCCCGAGAGGTAGCAGGGCTACCCGACTCTCCATGATCACATGGCTTCCTTCTCCAGGAGAGGGAGTCACGCGGTAGGCCGGTTGAGAGGGCGGGGCCGTCGGGCTAGCCCGCGGCGCCAGTGGCCTATGGGCTGCCGGGTCCGGCGGGCGCGCGGTAGGGGGCGGGGCCTGGCGCGCGTTATGGCGCGGGAGCGCGCCGGTGGCAGCGGCTGTTGGGGGGCGGGGAATATCGTCTAAGGCGACCGTGGCAGCTTGGGCACCGACGACTGCCAGTGGCGGCGGCTCGTGGTGCGGCTCGGCGCGCGGCCAGTTTTCGAGTTCGGAACTGAACGCTCGGAGTCGCGGTCCCCGCCCGGAAAGTTTGCTGCGGAGCCGCGAACTCCTGGCCGGCGCGGCCCGGCATGAAGCGGCGCTGAGGAGCCGCCGCCGCCGCCGCAGCCGCCTGAGGAGGAGCCGCAGCACCCCGGGCCACGCCGATGACTACTGCAAACTGTGGCGCCCACGACGAGCTCGACTTTAAACTCGTCTTTGGCGAGGACGGGGCGCCGGCGCCGCCGCCCCCGGGCTCGCGGCCTGCAGGTGGGTGCCGGGCGGGGCGGGAATGAGGAGCGTCAGCTTTTCTCCCTCGCACGAGCTCTCCCCCTCCCTGGTCCCTTGGTCGTCCCGAGTCTGGTAACGTTGTGTGTGTGTGTGTGTGGGTGTGTGTGGTGAGTAAAGAGCGGATTTAAACCTCTGAGGAGGCATGTGAGTCGCAGCGACTTGGAAGTGCCTGCGGTCTTGGCTGGAAGCAAACTAGTGGGGACCTGGACTCCGGGGGTTTGGAGGCCGAGGGTCGGGGCCGCTGCCCAGGTGGCGTCTGGTTGTCGCTGCTTTGCCAGCGTGGTGTGGAGGAAATGTCCCTGTGAAGTGTAAGCAGGCTTGGTTTTTCATCTATTGTAGGTGTTAAAAACAATCTCCATTTGAAAGATAACGCATTCTGGAAGTGCAGGAGCTCTCTAAAATTCGTGCACATGTCTATTTAAATATACTTTGCTACGAGAGTAATGCTGTAGTGTTAAATTTCCACTTTTGCAAGTTAATGGCTCACATTTAATTAGTGTAACTATAACGGGACTTTTCTGAAAAATAGATTTCTATTTTTTTTGCAGCAAAGTGTTGGGAACATTTTAAAAAGTGGGGTGCCTTGTCCGAAATTCTCCTAGAAAGTTCTGGAAGTCAGTTTTTATTTTCAGAAAAAGCTCACCTCGGAAGATGTTTTGAAGGAGATCCTGTATTGAGTTTAAAGGAGATCGTGAAAGGCTGAGCACCATAATGCTTGGAGGTCAGACCAATCAGGAAATAGAAACAGGATGGCTGGGGACTTAGAACTCTCCTGTGACCTGGTTTGGAATACTGTGGTTCATTAAGTTCAGTTTCCCTATTACTTATGCAAGCGAACTTCAAAAGGGAGATGGATAAGACTAATCCCACTTTATTCTTTCCGGTGTTAGGTGAATTACTTCATGTTCATATCGATGTTCAACAGACTGCTCTGTAGGCTTGCACTGAAAAACATATCAGAACGTATTATATAAAAATTCTCTGCAAAGTATTTGTACTGTATTATCAGTTCTATTAGCTTTTTAAATGTTAGATGTCTTTTTCAATCCCATTGACATCGTTTGAGCACCTGTTATGCTTAGGGTGGTGTTTGGTATTGTTACGATGGGCGCAGAAAGAATTGAGAGGCCCTTCAAGGAACTTGGGAAATGGGATGGAGGCACGTAACCCAAATAACTGTGCTACTAGGCTGACTGAATGGTGGTGCAGCTTATGGTAGAGATAGAAACGGGAAAAGTGGCTTTTGTGGAGAGGGTTGCATTGAATTGTACTTAAGATTATTGGGGTTTAACAAAAAAATACATCGTTTGAATGAGTATTTTCATTATAAAGAAGATAAACAGTTGATGATGTCAGCAAACTTTTATTGGACACAAACTTGATTGAGAACATTATATACCAAACATGATCCATAAAGATGTTAGCCAAACATGTAATAAAGAAGAATCATCATGTAGTTGGAATTGAATGTACATCTCAAACATTAAGTAACATTTACAAGCTATGAAAACAGCTTTTTAAGGAATGATTTTTGCCATAAGTCCTCTAAAAAACATTTTGATATGGGTCAAAATCAAAATGGATCTCGAAGAAGTTAAGATTTGAAACTTGATTTATAACTGGTTTTCCCAAAGTTAAACTTGAGCAGTTTTATTTGTGACAAAAGGTCCATTTTAAAGTAGTCTAGTAGCTATTTTTTTAAGTTTTAAAGACTTAGGATAAAGTACACATGACACAAACCATTTTTAATTGAATGATTCAGTGGCATTTAGTGCATTCACAGCATTGTGCAACCACATCTATCTAGTTTCAAAACATTTTCATCACCCTAAAAGGAAACCCCAAACCCATTAAGCAGTTGCTCTTCTTTCTCCCTTGCCCCCTCCCAGTCCCTGGCAGCCCAGTCTCTAGTCTGGGATCTGTCTCTATGGATTTATCTATTCTGGATATTTCATATAAATGGAATCATACATATATGACCTTTAGTGTCTGGCTTTCACTTAGTGCAGTGTTTTTGTGGTTCATCCATGCTATAGAACATAGCAGTATTTTGTTCCTTTTTATGACTGAATTATATTCTATCATACATTTACTCCGATTTCTTTATCTGTTCATCCATTGATGGACATGAGTTTTTTCTACCTTTTGGCAGTTGTAAGTAGTGCTACTATGATCACCTACTAGCTAATTTTTAAATTGTTTTGAAAATGATGTGTTAAATGTTCAGAATTAAGGTTTCAGAGTTATCTGTCATATTAATTTTCTTTTAAAAATTTATTTATTTATTTATTAGGCTGTGCTGCGTGTTAGTTGACGCATGTGGGATTCTAGCTCTAACTCAGGATCGAACTCAGGCCCCTGCATTGGGAGTGCAGTCTTAGTCACTGGAGCACCAGGGAAGTTCAAAATTAGTTTTCATTTTATTAAGCATAATTAAGAGTGTGTAGTTTGAAGACTAAGTGGATTAACTAACATGTTTTTAGGATGATAATATGCAGTAAGGTGGGCCATGAGAGTAAAACTGCTTACTAGAATTCAGATCAGTATTTGGTCATGTCAGTGAGTTTACTTGTGTCTGAGTTCTCTTTCTCAGTGGAGTGGAGCATTCCACGAGGGCAGGGATAATATCAGTATCTTATACAGATGCCTAGCAAGGTGCCTTTAACATAGTAGGCACCAGTATTTGTTCAATTAATGAAAAAGTACCGCTTAAGTTTTGAGTCAGTTGTTTTTTTTTCTTTTTTTTTAATGGCAAGGGAAGTTTATGAGACTTGTCTTAGTTCTTTGCCTTTTATTGGTCAATACCGTAAGATGGCAGCTTTCGGTCATTTTGGGTTCCAGGTTTTCCCTCTCTCTAAAGGCTTTAGAGTACTTGTGTCATATCTAAATTTCCATACAGAAGATCTTGAAAAATATTTGGAGGTGGAGAGGATAGTGGATGGAGACTGAGGACAAGGCAAGAAGCTGAATTTAGTGAATATCCTTAGCAAGCTTGTAAAATACAAATTAGATGATTTGACACTTGATATTGTGACTGACTTAAGTTTATTGCTTACCAAGGTATTTTGAGATTTTTTTTCCATTAAAGAAAATTTAAGATTCTAGAGTCTTTAGCTTTTTTTTTAAAATATGAGGACAGTGTTAACTTTGACATTTTTCCAGTTAAAAGTGAATCAAAATACTATGTTTGCATTTCTTTTACTTAATACACCTAGTTTGAAAATGAAGATATACCTCACGAGTAAATAGAGAATTTTAAATTGGTGTTTAATGTATTTCGCTAATATTATTTGCCATAATGAAGGATAGCTTCTGGCGCTCTATTTTAGTGTATTGATATATTTTAGTTAGATGTGGTAATATTCTTTATGTTTCAGATTTAAATTTTCATTCTTAGGATTTGTTCGTTACTAAACATTGACTTTCTAGTCCCGGAGGAGAGTCACTGGGAGGAGGGTGTGCTGTAGGTGTGTTGTATTTTATCTGTTGTTCCTTTTTGAAAGGGGAGAAATAGATGGAATATGTGTTTTTATTAGAAATTTACTTTATGATGTGTAGTTTTGTCAGATACCACTTTAATATGCAGCTTTTTTACACATTAAGTTGAGGGGAAATTTTTTTAAAATAAAAATTAAAAAATGAATTTGAGGAACTTTTTCTAGACCATTGTCCTAATCTTAAATCTGTAGTGTTTGACTGTTTAGTGTTTGGACATCTGATTCATGTATTCTTTATAATTTACTGTTTTTTAGATAAGTTCATTTTCTCACTTTTTTGTTTTTATTAAAATTTGTACTCTGTTTTTGTTCTCTTGTTTTAAATGAGATAAAATGTGTTTAAAGGTCTTAGCACAGTCCTTGGCCCAGTGATACTCAGTAAGTGGTGGTAATTTTTTTTCAAAATGATAAGATTTTTTAAAAAACACATACAAATTGATGATTATTTTTTATTTCCTCCTATTTCCTAGACCTTTTTTCTATAGTAAGCTAAAATATTGAGAGAGAGAGAGAGAGAAAGGGCAGCTGAGAGATCCAGTCTTTTAAACCTTACTAAATGAGTTGGAATATTTGTCTTAAATATTTTAATTTTTTGCTTTTAATTCTATTCCTGTTTTCAGTGTTACCTCCTTTCTCATATCTTACTAAATATACACACTGAATGTCATTTGCTTTTAATTACATTTTTCTACTTATTTGAATTAAATTGTTACTAACTCAATATGGTGTGAAGGATGATTGCTTTACTCACCATACTAAGTATAATTGGATATTTAAATCAGTATGAAAAAAGGGAAGTTGCGTGTATGGTTTCCTGTAGAAATTAATGGTGTGTTTATACAGCACATTAGATACTATAAAGGAAGATTTGATTACTGCTGAACCTTACTTTCATACTATTGGTCAGCTTTTTCCTTAGACTTGAATGCAGTGAGAATATATATTAGGTGATTGAGTCAATGATAAACGTTTCACCATTTCACTTGGAAAAATAATATTCTGTTTCCTTGACATTTTTCCTGATAAGAAGTAGACAATACTCCTGAGGGTATTAACAGAATTTTGTGATGGAGATTAGTGAATAACTATGTTTTAGTGAGTATGGGGGAAAATTGAGGAAAACATTTTAATTGTTTTGTTAAAACTTTATCATTGTAAGAGCATTGCTATACCTGTGTTTTCTTAGATTTTCCCATTTGCTAATTGTTTTTGTTGTTGTTTATAGTTGGTCCGTTCAGTTCAGTCCCTCAGTCATGTCCGATTCTTTGTGACCCCATGGACTGCAGCACACCAGGCTTCCCTGTCCATCACGAACTACCAGAGTTTACCCAACCTCATGTCCATTGAGTTGGTGATGCCATCCAACCATCTCATCCTATGTCGTCCCCTTCTCGTCCTGCCTTCAATATTTCCCAGCATCAGGGTCTTTTCCAATGAGTCAGTTCTTCACATCAGGTGGCCAAAGTATTGGAGTTTGAGCTT